AGATCCTGAGCCACAGAGCCACCGCCCCACCCACAATCACAGGCTACCTCATAATTTTCTAGTGTGTCAAAAGAGTACTGCTCACACCTGTAGAAGGCTCCACGGCCGAAACGTTGCGTTTTCTTTCTTCTCTTTTCAGTATGGAATAAACCTCTTACTTGTTCCTTTGCAGCCTATGCATGCTGACGCAGCTGCCCACCTTATTTGTTTTTATACAGGAATCGCCAGCTGAACTGTGGATCTTATTTTATACACCCTGATCCTGAATTCCAAACTTTTTTACGGCCTGACTTAGTACTGCGCTGCACACTGCTCCAGGATCGGTCCGGAACCTAAAGGGTTTTTAATGCCTGCTGGAAAACGCCATTCATGCGGATGCTGCCTTTGAGGTTTCAGCAGCCGATTTCAGTCCGCGCAACACCTACGACAGGACAGCCGGTCAGCGATACTCACACCAGAGCTCGTAGTAGTATGTGCAGCAGCCGGTCTCCCCACAGCAGTGTCCCGTCTCGCACAGGTACCCGGCGTGGTTGTTGATCCCTGGGCAGTACCTGGGGCTGGAGAGGACAGGCTGGCTGCCACCTCCGGGCTTCTCCACATCCTTCAAGAGCACAGAAGCAGGAGAAAAGTGAAACGCTACACGCCGTTGCCTGGGAAAAAAGTGCAGGGAAATTTATAAAGGGCCCAGGCTGACGTTGAACCAGTCTCTTTCAGGAATGAACTGATATATGAAATAATAGAAGTGTGCATTTTCTTTTGAACCCACAGTCACAGTGATAAGTCTATTAGGGAACCACCTTTTCTGAATTTTTTGACTGCGATAGTATACTTATTTATTACACAGTTAGTATAGATCACTGCAGACTGCTTCAAAACAAACATACTGTAAATAAGTCCCTAATATTTGAGTTGCAATATAGTGGAAATTGCTGATAAGATCACTTTATTGGCCATATACAATTTCTTGTATTAGGAATTTGTATTTTCACATACCCCAGCTTGCTCTCCATGAGACATACAGACAGGGAGAGAAGCCTGGGGTCAGAGTGCAGGGTCAACCATTTATACAGCGCCCCTGGGGCAGTTGGGGTGAAGGGCCTTGCTCAGGGGCCCAAGGGAGTAGGATTCCTCTGCCGGCCGCAGGATACGAAACCGGCAACCTTCCAGCCACAGAGCCACCGCTCCGCCCACAATCATAGGCTACCTCATCATTTTCTAGTGTGACAAAGGAGTACCGATGCCAACTTAACATTCAGGTCTTGGTTTACTTTCCAGCACAATCACCTGCTGGTGTAGGCCGTTTGTTTGTTTGTTTTTTTTACTTTGTTCAGTAACTCCTGCACTAAAAATGCCAACCAGAAGGCACAAGAGGAGACCATCTGGAAGTGCATTTAAAATGGAGAAGAGGAGGCACTTCTGTACTCAAACAAGCTGCCCAACTGTGTGGTGGGAGGCAATACACTGGGTTCCTTCAAGAGGTGGATGAGATGGTAGCTTTTGGATTGAAATAGCCAGACAGGCCTGTTGTTTGTAACCTCTGTGTTTCCCGACTGCTGGCACATTCATTTTCCACATTACTCGGGATCTCTTTAAGACACTGAGTAAATAGAACCATCTATAAAAATAAACAACAAAAAACGTAAGCAGTTAGACCAAGTCTGGTGTTTGATGCGTTTGTAAATAATGACATTAAAAATGCTCAACCGAATTGGAGAATAATCCATGATGCTTATCATGCTTCAGTGTTTTCGACACCTCAGCTCCTCTTTTCTAGAACTTTATCTAAAAAATAAAACTGTTGGAATGGGTTAAATACCACAGCTATTAAAGTGGTAGAATTACTGACGTTTTTCTTACATTGCCTACAGCTGAACTGCATTTTTTTTTTCTTTCACCACAATTTATGTTTAAATTCCAAAAGGACTTAACGGTGCCTGCTGGGGAAATAACTCGCCCTTTGCTCCGCTTCAAACTGGAGTGTTCGAAGGGCTCGTGTTCTAGAAGTTGGCTTCCAGGAGAAACTCACTTCAGGATTTGCCGTCTTAATGCCGGCTGTAGCACCTGGCGCCTCTATCTCTTTCCTATCTATTCCACACTGTGTCCCTAGGGGGCGATGTTGTCTGTGCACCCAATCAATAATAATCTGCTGCACTTCAGGAGCAGAACAAAGAGACCCACTTCCCCTGCAATTTTCTTCTATCATCTTTATACAATGTTACACAGCACCCGGGACAACACAAATTCAGAACCCAAAGGAATTTTCTCCCACCTCGATGGAGCCATAAGAATGGGAGTCCATTTGGAAACCAGATTCCATGGCTATTCACTATTCTAAACAAAGATGCCCCCTGCTCTCCCAGTAAAGAGAGAAAGTAAAGTCCAGACAAAAGAGGCTCATTGTCCAGAGCTCATGATATGGAAACCAGGATAAATGGACTACAGAGCACATGATTCCACTGTTTATCTTTTCTGAAAATGTTTTTGCTGCAAAAAAAACCAAACAAATTGAACATTGAAGCACAATATTATACTGCCACAAAGTTAAAGAGTAAATATCACAGTTTTGGAAAAAACAATTTATTACTGATCAACACAAATGGTCCCACATTTCCACATCTGCTTTTACCTTAGTTTTCATTACCCTCACATGAACACCTGAAGAAGGCCCCACAACCAAAACATTGTCTCTTTTCTTTTCAGCATGGAATAAGCCTTTACGTGTTCCTTCATTACCCTCACACTGACAAGTTCTACATTTTTTTTTAAACCAGTACAGTGCATTTCAAGATGTTAGCCTGCACTTGTGAGGCTGCAATGTGTCCTCAAGACTGCAGTTTACGATGCCACTTGGACCTGTCTGGGAAATATCTGCATCCAAACCAGCCAAGAAAGAAAGCGGTTTATCTAGAAGTGACGTCAGGACAGAGCAACTGCCAGAACTGGCCTCTGCATCAAGAACACAAACTGACATTGTAAAGGTTAAAGGGGAACTGTAGTCCCAATTTCCCAGACCAGTTATCAAATCTCGGTAACAAAATAAATTAACTGACGTTCTAGAAAAATTGTATGAATTTTCAAATAAGCACAAAATTGTGAACTTTGTGAAAGTACTTTTTAAGTCGCCATGTTGTCGCAAACAAAATGTGACATGATGTGGCCCTTCCTGGTCACTAGTCACCATAGCGACTAATGTACTGTGATGTACAAGCTAGTAATTACTGTACAGGTTGTGCAGCAGACATTTCGCTGCAGAAATGTTCCAAGGTGATCTGCATGCAGAGTTAACAAGTACGTAGTATCTGTCTGCTAAAACGTCTCGAAGTCAAGAGCAATACGTCTATTGGATTAAAACAAACGCTTCACAAGCCTGCTTGTTTGCAATGTCATACAGCCACACACGTCACCAGACATTTTTGCTTTGTTCTGAATCGCAGAATATGGCACTTTGTATACCTGGACATTTCGTGTCTTTTGTGATGTTACTGTGTACATTTTACCTTTATTGCTGTTTGGAA